CGCTGCTTGTCCCCCCCCGCAGCCCCTCCCCCCGGCGCAGCTTTCCAGGACCTGCCCTCTTCCCGGCTCCTCCTCACTCGTCGCAGCCGTCGTCAGCGACCGCCCCGCAGCTTCTCTCAACCCTGGGCCCCTCTCCCTTTCTTCCTCCTTTCCCCTCTCCTTCTCCAGCCGCCCCAGCTGCCTGAGCACTGAGTCAATCGGGCCGGGAAGGGAGGAGCCCAGCGGGGCACAGAGTTAGCTCTATCTATGGGGCCGGGGAGGACGAGGGAAGGAAGAGGCGGGACGGCCCTTCCCAACACACGCGACACCAGGGTGACTCAAGCCTCGATGGCGGCCAGCGGAGCAGCCTGCTGAGAGGCACCGGGAAAGGAATGTGGGATGCAGCAGGGCACCACGGCATCGGGAGACTGGGGCAGGGCAGAGCCCCCCCACTGCACCCGTCCCTCACCCTTCCCATAGTCCTTCCTCTTGGGGGGTTTAATTCGTGCGCACTGCACTGCCCTGGCAGGGGCCTCTGGGGGGTGTCTGGTCCAGCCTCCCATGCAAGCAGGGTCATCTGCATGCAGCAGGGCTATGGGGTCCCTCGTCATGGGGTTTGCAGCTTACCATGCCCCTCTCCCCAGCACCTCGGTGGGGCAGGTGCTGAATATCCCAGAGGTTTCTCTGTGCGAGGCAACAGAGCATGGTAAATAACCAAGGAGCCAGCAATCCACCCAAATACCAGGCTAGGATGCTAGCGCTGGCCTGCTGCCTGCCCAGAGCCCCGTCTCAGGGGAGCAGGGTAAAGCCTGGCTCCACAGTGGCAGCTCTCCTTGTCCTGAAGTGCTGCGATAGCTAAAGGGAAGGCAGGGAGCAGCGAAAAGGATGCAAGCTCTTGGCATGTGCATAGGGCATAAACCTGGCTGCTAACCCAAAGGGCTGCCCTAGCCAGAAGCTTTTCAGGAGGAAAATCTCCTCCTTCCCATCACTCTTTTCCCTGGGATGCTCCAAAGTCACTATCCTTCTCCAAGGCAGCGCCAGCCTTTCTCTCCTTTACAATGGCCCCAAATCTATGGTGCTCAGCCCTTTTCCACTACCTCCTCCCTCCGACTCCTGCTCTGCAGCCAGCACACTGGTAGCTTCCCCCAGTGGCAAGACACTCGCTGCCTGCAGAGCTGGCAGGATGGCTCCTCTGGTCCGAGCTGGGGGGGGCTGCGGGAGGAGGAATCCCAAAAGTAGTCTCCTGCACAGCCTCCAACTCCCACCTCACCACCTCCCCAGCACCCACACTGCAGACTGCCGAGGGCCTGGGCGCTCCTCCTGGCTGCAGCCCCTACCCAGCTCCGTGCACCCTCTCCCACCCTGCCTACCGGTGCTGTACATGGCGGTGGACATGGATAGCTGTGTGGTACCGAGACGCGGGCACCGTGTGCGTTATTCTTAGCTCTGTGGCTCAAAATAGGAAGGTTTGTGCTGAGTGGCAGGCGGAGGTCACGCAAGCGCAGAGCAAGGGAAAACGCTTCAGACCTCAGGATGGGACAGGAACCACATGGGAACCTTTGAGAAATGTTGGGGGGGGAATGTGTGTGCTGACACCCCCCTAAGCTGATGGTGATGGACACTGCAGGTCCTTCATGGGAAAGGGCCCACAGAGACAAGCCTCCAGGGCAGTTTTTCACACCAGGCAACACCCAACCACAATATGATACTTCCCAGTATCAGCGACACCTCCAGTTCCTTCAGGTGGAAGCAAAAAGGCACGCTGGTCCCTGCAGGACCCTGATACCTGGTGCACCTTAGCATGTGTCCTGGACAGCATCATTGCTGAGGTCCAGCCAAAAAAATCTCTGCAGATCTCTGGTTCGTCAGCAGCCCTTGGAGGCTGAAGTGATGGGGGAGAAGCAGAGACTCCCTCACTCTCTTTAAAACCAGCTAGGTCAAGCCAGAACGCCGCATCCTGCCACATCCTCATCTCGGGGCAAGGAGCCACAGCCGCCCCGAGGGTCCCCACAGCGCAAGCAGCTCCCAGCCCTCTGCCTGCCAAAGATCCTCCTTTCCCACAGGTTCCCCTTTATGTTCCCGCATCCCCCCGACATGCTGCGGCCTTGGCTGGGGTTCAGCATCGCATCGGTACCCAGTTTCCCCACCGCCCGGACTGGGAAGACTCCGGGGCTCTGCGGCTGCTTTATCTAATGCAAAAATCCCTACGAATACAAAGGGGATGGGAGTAGGGAATAGGCAAGCCTGGAGCAGCTCGGAGCCCGGGGGGCTCCCCACAGTGCTCTCCCCATGCTGGGGGTCGGATAAGGGTGAGGATGAGGATGGGGGGGATGGACTTACGGAAGCCGCCGCCGCCACCGCCACCGCCCTGCTCCAGCCCAGCCCAGCGCGGCCCGGCCCCGGGGAAGGTGGGGTTTGTGCGGGCAGGATGTGTGAGCGAAGCCGGGAGGACGGTGGGAGGAGGAATTAAAGGCGCAGCGACCGCTCAAAGCTACAAGAGGGAGTTACTAGGGTTGCTGGTGTGGTCCTGGCTGCTGTCACCTTCTCCCAGCTCTTGGGGATGGCGGGGTACAGCCGGGGGCACTCCTTCCACCTTTGCTCCGAGCAAAAGGTTCGGTGCACACGGAAAGCGGGGTCGGAAGGAGAAGAGAAAGCGACTTTCCCCTGGGAAAAGGTTGGGGGTGACACGGCACTGCCCCACGCTGCTGTCACCCCAGCTTAGCTGGGTGAAGCTCTGTGCTGCACCTCGTCTCAAGACTATTGCCTGGTGTCAGGGTTGAGTGTGGTGGTCCCAATGAGTGTCACCAACCATAGGGTCCCTTCTTCTTCCCCTGTGCTCACACCACCTACTCCAGGACTGGGCATCCCTGCAAGCCCAGGCAGTCACAGCCAACACCCCCACTGCCAGCTGTCCCAGCACCCCTGCAAGTTTGGCAGTGGCGGCCGGCACCCACCCCACCAGCTGCCCTGTGCTGCTGAGTGCCAACAGGGCCCATCCCAAGCAGGTCCCACTGCCCTCTGGGGCTTCCAGCAGGGTGCCCATGCGTGTCCTCCGTGACTCATGGCATGGCTATGCCGGGTGGTGCCGTTGCTGGCAGGCATGGCCGCAACGGGGCTCACCGCTCTGCATCATGCAGCCCAGTGTGGTGCAACATGACTTTGTCTAGCATGGCCCAGCATAGTCCCCATGGCTCAGCAGACCATGGTTTGGCTTGGTGTGACCAGCTCAGCTCAGCCCTGTTCAGCACAGCCCACCCCATCTCACCTGCCCCAGCTCCAGGAAGCAGCTCTGCACCACCATCCTTATGGTGCCAGGGCCAAAGACGGTGATTCCAAGGGGTGTCACCAACCATCGGGCTCCCTCTCCTCCCCTCATGCCTGGCTGCAGCCAGGGAGGCTTTGCTGGCACCACCTCCCTGCAGGAGCTGACATCCAGCTGTTACCCCAAGGGCTTCACAAAGCACCTGCTTCCTAATCCACCCCACCCCAAGGGGGCAAACTCCTTGCCAAGCAGGTTGCTTATGGGGTCAGGAGCTGTGTCCCTTGCCTGAGGGAAGGGCAACAGGGATGGTCAAGACCAGCTATAGCATGGTCCTGCCACTGCAGTCACACAGAAACACTCCAGTCTCATCCAGAAGCCACTGGAGCTGCCCTGTCCCATCCCCACCAAGGAGAGCCTGCCACAGGCAGCTCATTCTGCACACACTGGTGCAGAGGAGGCTTTGGGGTGCCCTGGTTTGGGGTGCTGCAGTTGTGACTTCAACTTATCCTCACCCAGAAGGCAGCTGTGCCACTGCCCCCAGGCTGGAAGAGTAGGGAGTCCCTGCTGGGGTCCCCAGCCAGCTCTGCATCAAGCCGCCGGCAGCAGCATGCCCTCACAGGAGGAGCAAGCACACTTGCAATGCAAAGTACCCAAATGGTACCTGCCAATTTTTTCTCAGGTTTTGACCACCCTGAGCACTCAGATCCACCCAGGACAGTGCCTGCCCTTGCTCATCTCTCGCCTCATTACCCTTCAGTGCCCTTTAAAGCTGCTTTCACAGCTGACTCCCCTGGGGTATGAGACAGCTCCTGTCTAATCCTGCCACACAGGCTGTCCCGTGTCCTGCCCCTTGTGCCTGGGAGCAGTTTCCGTCAAATACCTGCACAATTTCCTTGTTCCCTTCTCTCAAGCTTCCCTTTGCAGTGATGCCTGCAAGGACTTGGCAGCAGGCACCATTCTTCAGTTCTTTGTCTGTGACAAGCGTTGCCTTTTCCCAATCCTTTAGCTGGGGGCTGCCAGGGGAAGAAGAGCTTTTTGTCCCCTGCTCACGCTGTGCCACTGGCACACGAAGCCACAGAGTCCGAGCACAGGGAGGTGGGAAGGGAGGTCCACCCGTCCATCTCTGGGAGGCCCCACACCTCACTTCTGTTGCACCATCCTCCAAGCAACAGCCGCTGTAGACAAGTTTACGTCTGCTCAGATAAGGGCCAGGGCAGCAGCTGCCTGGGAACCACCTCTGTGCCGAAAGGGAGCGGGGAGCAGTCCTGGGGGTGGTTGCTTGCTGCCTGCCCCCCTGCTTTAGGGACAGCTGAGCTACAAGCACCACCACGCAGCAGGAAAGCTCCCCTGCCCTCCCACACCATTCCCAAATCATCCCAGCCTCACACTGCTCCCCATCCATCCACCTGCTTTTAGCAGCACAGGTGTTGATGCCTCAGCAGGCCAGAGGGAAAACCCGCTTGGGCTGGGAGAGCTGGGTTCCCAGCAGCAGGGCATGGCTTGTGCTCACACAGGGGGAGCACACAGCCTTGCACTCCTCCCTTAGCACCACGCATGCTCCTGGGGTCCCCTCCTCCCAGGGCCCAGCCCCCAACCCACTCCACAAAGAAAAAACCGCAACAACAATAGGTCCTTTTTATCCTTTTTTTTTTCCTTCTTTTGTACACAAATATATACAGGGTATTATACACAACTCTACACAGACAGTGCCACTCTGAACACACGGCTCTCTGCAGGCAGAGCCCCAACAGTCGCAGAGGCAGTCCCAGGCCACAGCCATCCCTAGAGACTGGAGCATCCCACCCCCCTGCTGGACCAGACTGGAGGGTAGTGGGTGCAAGAACTGGGAAGCAGGATCAACGTCCGCCCCTGCCCCAGCCTAGGAGCTCTCAGCTCACACGTTTCCTTCCTAGCTCATCCCTGGAGGGGATGGGTGACACTCACCGTGACCCTCTGCACCCACACATGCTCCAGCCCCAGCCGAGCCCTGGGAGCTGAGGTGGCCTGCCCTCCCACATCTCTTCCCCTCCATCACCCCTTTCCTCCAGGCCTGGGATTCCTATAGAGAGGTGTACAGGAACGTCAGTTACGTCCCCCTTGGAGCAGCCCTCCGCCTGCTCCATGGCTCTGGCTCCCCTCCTCTAATGGGGGGGTGAGGGAGAGAAAAGCCATGGGATGTGACTGCCCTTCCCCAGAGCAGAGCTGGGCAGGGCTGATGCTTCACTTGTTCAGGTCTGTTAAAGTGCTTGGAGCTCCAGGGCCAGCATGGGTGATTGAAAAAGTAAATGACTGTCCCCTTCCACCAGTCCTGTCAGACCCCAGAGGGCACGGCCCCAGCGAGCCAGAGCAGCACCCACAGATGACAGGCAAAGGGTGGGAGGGTCTGCAATGAGCACCAAACAGGATGGTGGCAAGGGGTCAAGGGAAATAAATATAGCTCAGTAGCAAGGATATTTATTATTTTCCATTACATTTTACACATGGGGAGAGAGGAAGCAATTGAGGGCAACTGATCCTGACCAGAAACCTCCCCTTCAAACAGGGCCTGACCTTCCTGGGGATGCCAGGGGCTCCAGTCCACCTCTCCCATGAGTCCTGTCCCCTCACTGCCTCTGGAACACAGCTATCACCAGGGAGGGGGCAATGGCAGAGGTAGGGGAGGAGCAGCCTCCCTCTCTCAGGCTGGGTGAAGCCAGGGGAGCCTATGCCCAGAAGAAAGGCAGAACAGCCCCAAGAGGCTTTTGTGCTCCTGAAGATGGTGGGCTGGCATGGAGAGGGTTCCCAGGGGCTGCTCTCCCATGACTTCCTCACTCTACGACCACCTTAGCTGGGGGAAGACCTTGCAGCAGTGCAGGGAAGGCAGCCCACAGGGCCCCATCGCAACCAGGCAGCACCGACCCCAGAGGGTGCTGAGGGTCTGCAGTCCAGGACCCTTTTTCCTCCCCTCTCCCTAGCACCCAGGAGACCCCCCAGCAATTCTCCCTCCATGCCCAGACCTGACCTTGCCATGCAGACACAGGGCAGTGAAGGGGGTTGCGGTACCAGGTAGGGGTCAGGTTGATTTTTGTTTGAAAGGGGAGTAAAATGTGCAAAAAAAATGCCACTTAAAATGATGCTGCAACCCCCTGCCTGTGCCTCAGGGGCAGGAGGGGACAGGATCTGGGGAAGAGGCTGCCTGCACCTCCTCCTGCCTTTGAGAACATCCTCAGCGCCCCTCACCCTGTGAGGGGCCGCCCAGCTGATGCCAAACCCGTGCCCCTTTCCCAGGGTGATGCCACCCCTGACCACAAGGCCAGGCCCACGGTAGAGGGGAAGTCCCTGTCACCACCCCTGGCTCCTGGCATGCAAGGGGTTGAGAAAGAGCACGGGGACAAGGTGCGACAAAAGTCACCCCCCTCCCTAGGTGGGGCTTCCAATACACTGACTAAAGCTTTTCTTTTATTGCCTTCCTGAAAGTCTAATAAATTACTACCATTTCTTGCCAGGAGGATGAGGAACAGAGGGCTCTGCTAAGAAGACCCCAAAGGTTCCCCTTGTGCCCTTCCCCACCAGGCACGCAGCCTTCCTCCTCCCTGCAGGCCCAGAGCAGCACCGCGGGGAGCACAGTCCCCCTGCTCCCCAGCCCCTGGGATTTTGGGGTCCGGGGACACGTTAAAGAAGGTAGCTAGTAAAAAGCATGCCTGCCGAGCTGCCAGGCTGGTGCAGGGGCGGAGGGGCAGGGAAATGGAGAGCTTGTGGCAGGGCCCCTGCCCTCACTGAAGGCAGCGGCCCCGGGGGTTGGGCAGGTGAGGGCAGCGGCCAGCACCCTTGGGTGCCTCTCCCTGGGTCTCCCTGCGCACAGCCTGCCCTGCTGCTGGGCCTCCTTCCCCTCCCGCCCTCCGAGGTCCCTACTGGTGGATCTCATTCTCTATCAGGCTGTCCTCACATGACTGGAAATCCGTGTCATTCATGCCGTCTGCGTTGATGAGCTCCTCGTCCTGCGACCCCTGCTCCTCTGACTCCGTTGCTTCACCCTCTGGCGAGGAGTCCTGCAGCACTTGGGCGATGTACTTCTGCTGGGAACATGCCAGGGTGGGCGAGAGGTGGGGAGAGAGCAGAAACACATGTGAACTTGGGAGGCTTCTTGTGGCAGTGGAGCACAACACGCAGGGCGCCATGCAAGAGGTTGAGCAGGGGGATATGGTGTGAGGGCAAGGAAGGGTCCAGACTCCATGGGATGTACTGGGAGAGGGAGTTAAAGCAGGGTTGGCTTGGTCCTACAGCAGTGGATGAGCCACACCCCAGCATCCTGGGACAGACAGCACCCCCAGAGAGCCAGGACTCAGATAGCAATGGGGTTCTCAGCTCTTTGGAGCTCTTGTGGACTGGAAGATCATGCTCCCTTTTTTGCCAGTTCATAAAACTGACTCTAGGATCTCAGAGTTGGGCAGGAGAAACCCCAAAAAGCATTTTCATGGCCTTCAAGGCAACGCCAATGCTGACCCCTTTACATTGGCACTGGGACCAGCCCAGTGAGTGACAGCCTTTGCTGGTGGGCAAGCGTGCAAAGATGCAGAAGAAGGGAGACTGACCCAGCTGGATTCACTGCCCCAGCCGAAAAAGAGGTAGAAAGTAAATGCACAGCATCTGAGGAGCATCAGGAAAGGGTTGTGCATGTGGGGTTTGACTTTATCACCCAGCTCAGGTGAGGGGCACAGTGCCCAACACTTGCCTCCCACTAACACTGGGTGGCTCTGGGTGCTGCCTCAGAGAGGTGAGGAGAGACGTTCTCGGACAGGGAGTTTCCTCCCTCTTCCCAAACCTGGGTAAGGAGTGTGCCAGGGTACCGACATAGGGACAGGGACTCACAGCTGATTTGGGAGCCGGCAGACTGGTGGCAGGTCTCCCATTCTGCCTGTTTTCTATGGCGTCCACCTCTGTGTGGTCAATCTGGAGAGGAAAGGAGAAACTAAGAGACTGATGTGGCAACACATTTGCTGTCCCACCACAGGACCAGCCCACAGGCAGCAAGGACAGCCCTGGGACTGTCTCCTCTGTGAAGCCGGGATGAGAGGCTCTGCTGGGGACCAGGCTGGCATCCCCCCAAGAGCCCCTGCTGTTTTGTGGCTGAGCTGTGCTCCCAAGGAGAAGGGTCCCACATCCCCACCCAGAGCTCTGCCTCACCTTGTAGTTGTGAGCGCTGAGGTATTTGAAGTGCCCGAAGCAGACATGACACAGGCAGATCACAATGGTGATCACGAGGACCACAAAAGTGAACATGGAGGTGGGGGCCAGGAACCCTGGGGCAAAGGAAAACCAAAGTGGAGGTGTCAGAGGGACTTTGACCACGCCCCATGTCCAGGGGCTGCCAGCCCCACAGCGCCATGAGGGAAGTGGCTCTGCAGGAGACCAGAGGGTGGCATCCCAGCCCAGCACTCACCTGTACGCATGGTGGAGAAGAAGAGAAGCCAGAAGAGGCAGAGGATGGGGGCTGCCACCACTTGGTTCACAGCCCCTGAGTGGATCTTCTTGTCCAGCTTGGCAGGCAGGTAAGCATAATACAGGTTGTATCGGTCCACCAGGTGCTTAAGCAGCATGTACATGAGCCCTGGGAGAGAGGGGAGGGATGCCAGCAGAGAGGATAATCAGATTCCTTCCCAGTGCCTCTGGCTGACAGGGAATATCTCCCCCAACCCACCCTTCCTGCCCCTCCTCCTCATCAAGCTCTCCCCAGTTTCTGATGCAGGGAGGCAGAGGAGTATCACTTACCAAAGGGGACAATGATGGGGCAGGTGATGCTGTATGTCATGACCACAGTGAAGACGCACATCATCCAGGCGTAAGCAGCCCCAAACTGGAACTCATAGGCCTGGTGCTGCAAGAGGGAGCAGAGACTCATCAGCACAACCCTGGGAGCTCGACAGGGGTGTGCAATGCACCCAGCTGTACGTACAGCATGGGGTGAACTGCATCAGGGTCTCATCACAGCACTCTCATTCTCAGGTGGGGGCCACAACCCACCCCCTCAGCCCTGCTACATACTCGTTTGACATTCCTCCGCTCAGCGGCTGAGCGGGCCAGGCAGAGGCGTATCATGTACATGAGCAAGCCGGGGATGCGCAGCAGGTCCATGGCGTTCCCGATGAAGGCAGAGGCGATGACGTAGTTGACGAAGAAGGCCCCGTTGTCCGGCAGGAACACACACCTGGGTAGGCACAGTGAGAGCAGACTGCAGGAGGCGCTCTTCCCCTTGTGGGGTAGCAGCCAGGAGCACCCAGTACCTTCGGGTGCCAACAAGAACCCCCCCAAAGAAGGGCCTTCTGCTCAACTCCACTTACTCAAATCGCACAGCGGCTTCGGCGAGGAATTTTTTGTCAAACAGCCAGCGGAAAAACACATCCAAGCTGTGGGGGAGGAGGGCAAGAAGAAAAGAGGAAGTCAGGAGCTGTGACAGATAGGCATGCACATGCAAATAAGTGGAAGCTGCTCTAGAAGACCCAAAGCTTTGACCATAGGCTGCTTTGATCCCTCTTGGGATGTGTCACTAACAATTATGTAAACCAGACACTGGGAAATCAGTGCAGCATCCAAAAACAGTTGTAAAGCTTCCCACTCATGTGTAGTGTTTTCCCTTTGCCCTGATCTCATCAGTGAAGTATTCTCCTCGCCTCTCTGGGCACAACATCCATGCCGGGAACAGGTGACTGACTCTACAGAAGAGACTGGTTAGGTACAAGGTACCCTCCAACACAGAGATTAAACAAACAGAAAAAACCCTTAGGAGAAACAAATCCCATTTTCCTCAATTCTGATTTTTTCAATATAAAACCCATCTAATCCTCTGGCATCTCAGGTACAGGTGGACTAGAGAGCTCCAGGGGCAATAGCAAGGGAACTGAGTCCTCAGAAGGATGCATGGTCTGTTGAACAGTATCTGGTCAAAATGCACATCTTCCAAGAGCATTCACCTCCCCAGGTTGTAAGGTTATATGCAACAAGACACTTTTAACCTGACTGAGAAACACTGCTGCAGTCACTCATCCTTTTGCCTCTATCAGAGGGCTCATCTATTTCTCAGGAGTTGCCTCAGTCACTGAAGGGCTGTATCCCAAATCCTGAGTTTAGGGAGAGTGTAGATCTCCCACCCTACAATGTGTAAGTAACTCCCTACCACAATAAGGGCACCCTGTCCCACTCTGACCCCCTAGTTTTTCCTCCCTCACACTGTTCTCCTGCTCAGCCACTGCTCTGTGCTGGGATCCCGCGCCAATGGCTGGCAGCTGCTGCACCACTGTTTGCCACAGGACATTTCTACAACGCCTGCAGGAAGACTTGGGGCCCACATCCAAACAGAGCCTACACATAACTACCCCAACCCAGTCAAGCAGTGCAACCTACTCAGTTTTGGTTCAAATGGGGTCTGGCCCAGCCCCCACACCAGAATGAAATGATGGCGGCCAGGGCACTTGCACAGCAGGAAAAAGAAGGTAAGTGAAGGAGGACAACCAGGGGTGCATCTTAGCCCTCTTTGTGCTCTAGGTTTCTTCACTTGCTTTCCCCTCCTACCTGCTCAGGCCCAGCGATGGCAGCAGCAAGACCATGAAGATGAGGAAGGTGTAGCACTTGTGCATGGTTGTCCTGTTTTCTCCAGACCTGAGGGCAGAGAGGAGGCTGTTAACCTTTCACTGTCCTGTCAGCCCCAGGAGTGGTGCTCCCATCTCTTTGTCATCAGAAAACACTTCCCAGTGTCCAATTTGAATCCTACTCTGTCCACTACTGGTACATGAACGTACCCTTTTTCCCTTCAGTGTCTGTTCTCAAGTCTCAGTTCCTCCCTCCTTGTCTCACAGGCCCTCCTAGCCCTTGTATCTTTACTCTCCGCAATCATCTCTTGACCTGCAGTCCTCCCCACGAGTTTTTGCCACATAGAGCAGAAAACAAAGCTTACATTGCACATCCTGTGGGGAATGCGCTTCACAAGCAGCACATTTCTAGTGCTCTGCACTTCAAATACCATCCCTGTGGGCAAATGCCATAGCGGCTAAGGTGATTTTCCCTTGGAAAAGCTATGAATTACACATGGGTACAGGCACACCACCCCACCTGTTCATCTGAACCAAGGCTTCCCTTGCTACCAGCATTTCTCACAGTGACTAGTCCCAACTCCTTCCAGCTTTCTTCTTGTAGACCTACGTCAAGCTCTGCTCAGACAACCACACTGTACAACAGCAGCTAAGGACTGGCAGAACAGCTGTCCATGGCAGACCTCAGGTGTTCAAGAGGTGCAACATGCTTGGAGTAGAAGACACAAGTTCAAGCAGAAGGATCCACCCAGGAGCTTTATGTCAGTGATAAGTGTCTATGGCCAGGTAGCACACTGGTATGAATAAGAACAGGTACTGGCTGTCCTTACCTGGTCCAGTGTGCTTCAAAGAAGGCAGAGTAATACACTATGGTGGGCAGCAGAGCAGAGAAGCACCACAGCAGCAGGGTGGGGAAGAACTGGGTGATGATGGGGTTCTGCAATGAGACAGAGAAGAGACCGTGTGTTACACAGTGGGGCAGTTTCTGTGCCAGCCACAGGTACAGCTGCCTTTACTGACACCAAATCCCTGCCACCACAGCTGCCACTGCAACCTGGCCAGGCCCAGCATCTCCTTCATGATAGGGCTGACAGGACCTGGGGAATGCTGACAAACTCTCTCCCTACCCCCTCCCTTGCAGTGGCTGTTGTGCCTTGGGGTATTCCCACGGTACCCCATCCTGTGACCATCTCCAAAGGGCTTACATTAAGGTACTCCACAGGCTTGGTGACGTTGAACTTGTCCATCGTGGTGATGATGATAGCAGGGGTGGTGAGGAAGAAGAGGAGGATGAAGAGGACCACATTGATCACGAGGCAGCGGATCCACCAGATGAAGCCCCGGATGGAGAGGTGTTCCCTGGGAAGGCAGAAGGAAGGCATCAGGATGGCTGCATAGGGGAGGAGGGCAGGTCTGGGGCCTCACATGCACACCACGGCCCAGCCTGCATGAACAGCACTTGAGGTGCCAGCCCAAGGCTTCCCCCCTCCAAGTCAGATCAGACCTTGTCGTGGTTTATACAGCTGCTCTATCACCCGATGCCTCCTCCCCACCTGGAGAGGGGTGTCGGGAAAAGGAAAGGAGATACGTAGTTTGAAATAGAAATATATTTAATAAAATAATATCAACAACTAATATTAATAACTGTTATAAAATGCACAAGAGTTATACTCAGCCAACACTGTGGGGGAGTAGGCCTCAGGGGTAGGATGGTAAACAAGTCCCTCTCGAGATGTCAGCCATGGAAGAGGGAAGGAGGAGGAAGGAGGAAGAAGGAGGAGCAGGAAAGGGCTGTCCCCACCAAACTTCCCAGCTTATAGTGAATGTGACATTTGTGGTATAGAACAAATCTGTTGGCTAGCCTGGGTCATCTACCCTGGATTTTTGCTCCTTCTAATTTCAGCAAGTCTTGAGTTAACCAGGTGCAGACGACCTTGATCACTATGGCAACCTGCATAGCAGAGGCTGGCCACAAGCTAAGAGTGTCTTATCAACTTTGTTCCCATGAAATAGTGTTGTAGTCCTTACAAAATCGCAGTTTTCCTCAACAGAAAACTGGCTCTCAAATTCTGTCCCAGTAAACCAGGACAGACCTCTAGCTCAGCCAGGCTGGCTTCAAGAAGAACAACTCATGCAGTTACCAGAGGAGCAGATGGGGAGGGTGCACCTCTTTCGCATCGGCAGGGCCCGCTGAGCCCCACAGAGCTGCTTACCAGTAGATGTTCTGTGGGTCAGGGGCATAGCTGACGGTCCAGTTGGAGACATGGAGGGACTCGCTGCAGGAGGAGGCCCTGGGCTCCCCACGGCACGCACAGCCCTGGCACTTACAAGCGTTGAAATCTTTGAGGATTCTGGAGGAGAAAAAAGGAGGTGCTGACACAAAGGGCTGGCAGGGAAAAGCTGAAGGGGATGCCTTAGTGCTGGCATTCCTTTGATTTGAGGCAGGAGCTGGGATAGGTCATCTTCCTGGGGAGGACAGGACCCTTTGCACTCACATGGCTGTGATGGTCTCATTGTGGAAGGTGACAAAGGCCATCCCCAGAGGCTTTTCATTCACCTTCTCCTTCTCCCGCTTATAGTCATCTTTGAGCTTCTCCTCCAGCTTGGTATAGTACTCAATGGCCTCCACCTGGGCAGGAGGACAGGGGTCAGAGCAGAGACCTGGGGACCCAAGCCCCCACATGCCTTGCCACCCAACACCTCCAGCTCTCTCCCCACCTCCTCGCAGCCCCTGATGATGCAGCAGCACAGGTGGCCACAGGGCTTGGGGTTAATCATGGATGGAGTGTTCTCCTTGCTCTGCAGGTTGGTGAAGTAGATTCGCCCACGCTCAGCTTTCTTCCTGAAACAGGAGAAAGACAGACAGACAGACAGACAGACAGAAAGAAAGAAAGAGGGTGGCTCAGAAAAGCTTCTGTGGCACCAGACTTGAGGGGGAGCCTGCAGCATCAGCCCACCCTGCCTTCTCTCCCAAACCAGAGGTTACCTCTCTGCATCAAGGAACATCAGCCGGGCAACGTCATAGCACGGACGGGCCTCTAGGACGGTGCAGTTGGCATAAGCCTCCCTGTGGATGGGAAGCACCAGCTCATCACACCCAGTACCAAAAACCATACCTTCAAGCAAACTCCATGCATCCAGGACTTCTCTCCTGCCCTGGGCCAAGTGTCACAATGCATACCAAGAGCTTGTTGGGGCATAAGGGGAGCCTGCAGGCTCTGTCCCTTATAGCAGAAGCAACACATGGGGCAAACACTACATTCTCTGGGCTTTGGCACGAGGAGACTCTTTGGACTTTCACCCTGTGGCAGCAAGGCACCTTCTAAGCCCACACCCCCTTTCTGCCTTCATAAGCCACAAGGCACAGGGTCAAAACAAAGCAGAAGGGTTCCCAAAGGGTACAAAGCATTTGTCCTCTCCCCATGGTGCTTCTAAACATGGCCCTGACAGTATTCATTGAGGTCTTGATGGAAGGGGAATTAATTTTTGGTTTGTTAAAAAGAAAAATATACTTTTCTACAAGGACTGTGATCAGGGCAGAAGCAGCCACAGAACAGCCCCATAGTCACTGCTTGAGCTGCCTACATCTCATATCTGAACTTATATATCCCACAGCATCCTCACAGCTAAACTG